TGGAATATTTACGTAAATATTCTATATAAAAAAGTTCCGTTGATTTTATATAACAGTGATGTAAATATAACAGATGTGTTTGCTGGGTATGAAAGTACGAATAATTATTTATCTACCTTGCTGGTAGGAAAAATTGACCATACAGGGTATGTCAAAAGACGAGCATACACATCTTCATATCAAGAATTAGTCAGGAGGAATCCATGAAAACGTGCATGCTCATAATTCACAATACGCTCTCTTCATTCGAAATATTTTCGACAATGCAGTGTTGCCGCTTCTACTATAAAGTTGTATACAGTGTGTCCCACTTACCATGCTCACCATGGGTATCTTTTTAACGGTGAGAGATACGAGGTCGGTTAAATGACACCAAATGTGGAGTTTGTCAAGGCCAACTATAAAGGTGAAAAAATATTTTGCTAAAATCTATTCGTTTTTGTTTAATACGCAAAAAACAGATTTTGATCATTTTCATGTCTCCTCCGTAACTTCTTTAATTATGAAAATATTCGAATAGGAATTTCACATTCTCATGGCAGTTTTTCAAAATGATTTCGTAGAAAATATGAAATTTATACCAACTCTTCTAGAATTTGAGATATCAGCACCAACTTTAGTTTTTCAAATGTTGGTCATAGCTCAATATGACTTAGTTACAAATAACTTTTTTTTCTCTTACAGATGATATGTCGCAGTAATAGTTTTGTGTTGATATAACAACGGAGTTATCGTCATTTATACAGAAACAAATAATTATTTGGAAGCCGCCATCTTGAATTTATCAATTCTAACAAAAAATCATTATTTCCGACTTCAAAAACCCCCACTTACCAATTTTGAATGGAATCGGACCAAATCTTGTCCGCCATCTTGGAGCACCCATTTTTTTAAATTTCAACAAAAATTCCATAACTCCGATTAACTTGAAATTTGGCAGGTGGTAATAATTTCGGTGACAATACATTATGGAATTTTTGTTGAAATTAAAAAAAAAATGGCTGCTTCAATATGGCGGACAAGATTTGGTCCGATTCCATTCAAAATTGGTAAGTGGGGGTTTTTGAGGTCGGAGATCATGATATTTTTGTTAAAATTCATAAATTCAAGATGGCGGCTTCCAAATAATTTTTTGTTTTCTTATAAATGACGATAACTCCGTTGTTATCAACACAAAACTATAACTGCGACATATCATCTGTGAGAGAAAAAAAAATTATTTGTAACTAAGTCATAGTGAGCAATGAGCTACATTTGAAAAACTAAAGTTGGTGCTGCTATCTCAAATTCTAGAAGAGTTGGTATAAATTTCATATTTTTCTCGAAATCACTTTGAAAAACTGCCATGAGAATGTGAAATTCCTATTTGAATATTTTCATAAATAAAGAAGTTACGGAGGAGAAATGAAAATGATCAAAATCTGTTTTTTTTGCGTATAAAACAAAAACTACTAGATTTTATCAAAATATTTTTCCACATTATAGTTGGCCTTGACAAACTCCACATTTGGTGTCTTTTATCGACTTCGTATCTCTCACCATTAAAAAGATACCCATGGTGAGCATGGTAAGTGGGACACACTGTATAGCAACATTGATATTTCAAATGGAACACCTTGTATTTTATCGCATTTTTAGATTCTCCCGAAGAGCTGATTTCATCGATATATCACACTTGGGGTCTATCAAAAATGATTACAGAGATATAGGGTGCGTTCAAAATCGGGATTTTTTTTAGGGACTTTTTTGTGTCGAAACAATTCATTATCGGTAAAAACGGATCACATGTCCCCATCTCAACTTTTGAATCACTATTTACTGATATAATCGGAACAGATACAGGGTGGTTCAAGATTCAGAATTCTGGCCACCCTGTATCTTTTCCGATCAAATATCAGTAAATAGTAAATCAAAAGTTGAGATATAGGGACATGTGAGCCGTTTTGGCCGATAATGAATAGTTTCGACACAAACAAATACTAAAGTTGAAAAATCTACGATTTTGAACACCCCCTATATCTCTGTAATTATTTCCGATAGACCCCAAGTGTGATGTATCGATAGAATCAACTCTCCAGGGAGAATCTAAAAATGCAATAAAATACAGGGTATTCTGTTCGAAATAACAAAGTTGTTGCTACTTTTTGATAGAAGCGGCAACACTGCATTGCTGAAAATATTTCAAATGAAGAGAGCGTATTCTTAAATATACACATGCATATTTTCATGAATATAGAGATAATGTAAGCTCGTTGTGACATACCCTGTATACGTGCTTCACTTTTGAGTAAGGATTCTATTTCTTCAAATTCCTTCCGTAACTTTTCACTTCTGGGAATGAAATGCAACTGAACTCAATCTCGAAGTTGAGATAAAATCTTTCAATTATACATATACTGAACGAAATTATCATTTTCTGTGAAATACAGTGAGAAAACTTTCATACTTTGAATGAATAACTTGTCAAACCGAGCAATAATGATTCAATTCAAAATAATCTACTGAAGAATTGAAACTCGAAAAATATCTTTTGGTTACTTGAATATCCGCAAGAGGGTCTATCGCTTATTTGGAATCGCCTGAGTCAAACAGGGTTAACTTTGGCACGATGGTCACGTGCCAGGCAACCAGATGACGTTTCAGTGACGTCTTTTTTACGTCACTTGAATGACCAAGGTGACGTCAGGAGTTGACGAAGTATGACGTGATAAATGACGTGAATAAGTCACAGCCCAATGACGTCAGATTGCTCACGGTTATTGACTTCATTCACTCACCAAGCTGGGACGTCGGACTGACGTCGAAATTACGTCAAAATGACGTTCAAATTTGGTGATGATTCGTAGAAAAGTTTCCTCAAACATGGTGTGATAAACACCACTGACCTTTGATGACATATAATATTGATTATGCATTTTTGAGTCTGCTTGGTGGTTCCTCCGGTATCATGTCCATTCAATCGTCTATTCAGCAGCGCTATCCTCCAGTACGCATCTCCATCAGAATGAAATCAGTTACTCGTATTTGTATAAAAAAATATGTAGTTTGTGTCGGCGAGATGTAACAAACCAAGAATAGTTTGACAGCAATGGAAATGATGCGGTGAATTTAGCTTCACTTTGTTGAGTAACGTATATTCATGCATTCTTTGTCACCGAACAAAATAGCGAATTATTGAAACATTTTCTGAATGACGATAACTCACCAGATTGGTATGTCACAACGACGTGATTTTTAGACGTCATATATACGTCACTGCAACGTCATAAAAGTGCCGGTTTCAATCGGTTCACCTATATTTCCATTTATATGTATACATCATACAGTGTGACCCACTTCTAATGGAAACAACCCTGATTCCGAATCTGAAGTGATTTTTGACCTATTTTGACTCCTATATATAATATCATTTTCCGGAAATCGGGGTGGTTCCATGGCTGTTGGCGAGCAGTGTATATCACTGAAGATGACCCCCACTTGGTCATATAGTGCATTTTTGGTATATCTCTCGCTTCAGCAAATTTCAGGATCCTTACCCAACGGTTACGTAAGATACAGGGGTGCGTTTCCATTAGAAGTGGGTCACACTGTATATAGCTTGATTGGTTTCCGAGATATACAGGGTGTCAGAGTTTTTGGGTATATATAATTCCAATAAAACTTGCATGTTGATTTGGTTCAATGAGTTATATTTCTATTAACGTCAGTAGCATATATTTAAAATTACCAAGACTTATTACATCTTTCTACATAGGCATGTGAGTAAAATTCATGAAAAAACGAGTTTTTCTGAAAACATTTCGACACTGAAAATGCCCATCCTGTATATAGAGGTACGTCACAAACTTAATGGTTCCACATGATATATTGTAAGTATACATGGCTTAGAGATGGTCTGGGAAAAGTGGACGTCGACAGGACGTCCCTGCAACGTCATAAAACTGATGTCCTATTCTACCCATTCAAGTGACGTTTACTTGACTCCGAGATGATGACGAGATTATGTTATATTAGAAAGTACGTCATAGTGACGTCATAAATTGGTGTGTGCAGTACCGGATTAGCCACGTAGCAAGAGTAGCAAATGCTATGGGCCCCGCGAATTGGGGGGCCCCGCGCTCCAATACCTATCCGGCCAGTCTTACTGTAAAAAAATTACCAGATCTGTACGACTCTGAAGGATACTATCAGGTATTAACATAGGGTCGAATCAAGCGATATACAAAGTACGACCATTTCAGCGGATCTCTACTACACTCGATGACTTTGATGAAAATCAAACACCTGGACAACGTTTTGAAGTTCAGGTATTTATTTTCATTATTGATAACGTACTCTGTCTGCTTCAACTAAACGTTTGAAAGCATTTCATAAAATTACTAGTGTTTTTGTATTGTATTTCGACAGCAAAAGAGATTTTGGAAAAATCTTCAATAATGGTCACTGCTCACACAGATGATTAATTGGAAACCAACCTTGGAGACGAATTCGTGTTGATCGTTGAGCTGCTCAAAACGAATGTGGGTACTGTCATTCAGAGCACCAAACAGGAGCCTTTGGAACTACAATTTCAAAAACGTTCATTGAATAATTCTTTAGAATCATGTTTCCCGAACATAGAAATTGCCTTGCGAATTTACGTGTATCTCATGATCGCTAACTGTAGTGGCGAACGTTTTTTTTAGTATTAAAACGTATTAAAAATGAGTTGAGGAACACGATGGGCCAAGAACGTCTCAATTATCTCACTTTGATAAATACTAAGCATGATTCGCTTGAAGAAGTCGATATTGAAAGTGTGATAGTTTCGTTTTATTTTATTAAATACTCTAAACTTGATAACCTAAAGCAAACCAAGGGCCCCTTGATAGAATTTGCTACAGGCTCCGCGCTGGCTTAATCCGGCACTGGGTGTGTGACGTCACTGACGGAAAATCACCAATTAGGGACGTCACAGTGACGTGATCATTCGTCATCTGGTTGCCTGGGGTATGCATCGAACATGCACATGCGTTAAAGTGGAATCACGCGGTGTCCCAAAGATGACCTCTGTTCGCACTCTCCTACCGGCAGCCCTCCTAGACCGGCGTTCCCCCCTTTGCGCACGCCTCCCATCACCCGCCCCCCTTGGGCGCGGGCGTGACGGTGGTGGTGGCGGTGGGCGGCGGCCGCTTGCCCAACCCTCGCGACCGCTCTGAGCCGCCCACGCCGAGCGTGCGCAGCAGCGTGTTGCGGAAGTCCTCGGAGAAGGAGCAGTAGATGTAGAAGGTGATGGAGTAGTTGGTGATCTCTAGGAGATTGGCTATCGCTCTGAACACCTACAAATTATATGAATGTTGTAGCGATGAACTAATATTTTCAATAGAAACATTAATAAACTTTTACAAATGAACATATGAACATTTATTAGAATCATCGGATATAACTTATGACGTGTTCTGTATTCTGGAATCAGTCATCTGTCAAAATATTATCGAATAAGATAAATGTCTCTCGCCAGTCGTTCAAATAGTAGCTTTTGTATGGAGGTCTTTTTTACTTTTTAATACAAATGGAGTTCATGTTTCTCCGAAACTAGGATGCATGTATTGTAGAAACACCTATTGTAAAACCCGATAATCTGCGCTACATTGAAAGCATAGTATTGTAAAAAAGCAATTTACGCAATACATAAAATTTCATGACAGTAGATGAGATACATTTTTGCGATAACTCAAGTCTTTATCTATTGTTTTTACAATACATGAAGCTTAATGTATTGCAAAAATGAGTTTTTGCAACAGATTGATTTTCAGGTTTCGATCTAGTTTCGATTATCTTTTTCTTCTTCTCTACTTATCTTAAATCATAGAATGCATAATATTTTTGAGTTCTGTGCTCTTGATGTCTAGATGTCAAAAGTCAAAAACAAAAAAGATTTATCAAAATTCCGAGAATGTATAAAATAAAAAAGGTATTTGAATAATCTGTATTTAAACATTTTCGAGTACTGGTACTGATAGGTAGAAGTGAGGGACATTTGCAAACATTTTACAATTACAGAGGTATTCCATGAGCTGTTTGCCCCTTGGTATGGAAATGAGTTATTTTTCTTGTACAAATTGAAATAAGTATATATATAGCTTCTAAATGAGTAGTGTTCTAAGAAATTAGAAAGGTGGATGTAGGCCATTGTAAAGGTAAATGAATGTGATGGTAAACTCACCTCACCATTTTGACAGTTTTATATAATAACTTAAGGGCATAAGGGTGTGAAGAGAAAACTAACAGTTTTAATTTTACTTTTCATAAAAGGCGAATTAAAATATTTTAGAGGAATGGTATGATGTACGACTAATCGACTATCTTCAACAGTTCTCAATAATCTCAATGAGCAATAAGAGCAATAAGTACCCGTTTCTCGTTCAACGGCTTCAAAGTAGATGAAGTCACAAGTCAGTGATTATTTTAAACTTTGGACTCTCTGCTATAGAGGTCCACACAGGCCAAAAAAAGAAGAAGTCATTATCGTTTTCTCCTCGAGCTTTATTTATCATTTTAGTTTTTATCATGTTTTTACTTACAATACATGAGGCTTAATGTTTTGCAAAAATGGGTTATTGCATTTGATGAATTTTGCTATATCACTTATTTCAATACATGAATTGTTCAAATGTTTGTTTTTACAATACATTGCTAGTTAATGTATGGTATAAATCAGTTTTTGCAATACATTGAAATCAATGTATTGCAGAAACTATATTTTTACAATACATTGCTTGTAGTGTAGCTCACCATCGTTTTTACCATACATTGCAAGTTGGTGTTTTGTAAAAACGTTTCATTTTTGCAACACATTGCGGCAATGTATTGTAAAAACGTTTCATTTTTGCAACACATAGTGGCAATGTATTGTAAAAATGCCAATTTTTGCAATACATTGCTGCAATGTGTAGCAAAAATAACAGTTTTTACGATACATTGCCCTTCAAGTATTGTAAAAATGTCAATTTCTGCAGCAAACTATTGCAAAAACACAATTTTTGCCATACATTCGATCCAATGTATATTAAAAAGTAGAAAGGCACTCCATACTTTTGCTACTTATTTGCATGTTGATGTTGAAATGTACCAACTGAAAATAAAAATTTCGAATAGGTATACGAAAATGAAGAAAATCCTCGATGTTTGCGGTAAAGATGACTGTTAATTTTTGATTTTGCAATTTCTCAGTAATTACAAATTCATCATTGTTCAAATATTAAAATCAGAACTGAATCTGTCGTGCTTCTGAGTGGCAAAAGTTGAAGTATATAACTTGAATATTCTATGTAATGTACCTACCTAATGTGGCAAAACAAATTTCAGGAGTCGAAAAAAAAATCGTTAAAAAAGCTCTGGTTATGAAAATGTATGAAAGTTCTAGATCATCTTTTTCAAAGAACCAATTTGCATGCATTAACTAATAGTTCGAAATCCTCAGTTGTCAATGCAAATTCAAATTTGATTGGTGACGCCGCATGCAATCACAATTAGATAATTTGCTAGGACAAACATGTTGAAAACCTATAAAAATCATGATTGAAAGATGCATATAAGTACATTGAAAGAACTTTGCACAGGATCTCGTTATTGCTATGGTGTTTGAGAACAAAATGCTCTCAAATGAAGAATCAAAAGTTCCCTTTTATTCCCTGAAGTGCATACAATCATTTCAAATTGTTACTGCCCACCAAAGACCACGGGGATATACGAGCATTGCATTCTTTACCAGTAGAGAGAGGTTATAGGTTGATACTGGAGAAGACTGTTATAGTATCTTCTTCTTCTACTTTTTCTTCTTCAAAGCACTGGCAGGCGGGTGAACATCCCTGCACGTAGGCCTCCATATTCGGGCCCATTGTTCGCCAACATGTTCCGACATTCAGCTGGGTATGCCAACTTCCTTGGAAAAGTTCAACAGCTTCCTCAGCTGAATCTCTTTCACGTCCTCTGGCCTCAAAATGATGTTGCCAAGGACATCTCTCATCTGATGTGGCAGTGCTGGGCACTCAGTGAGGACATGCGATATGATGTTTCGTCATCTTCCAGGCACCATCTGCAATTCTGCAAAGGGGATCATCTTTGATCCCTACCCAGCGAACACAAACATCCCTGGGATGTTTTGTGATATTTTGAAAATGTTGGCATGAAGATGTTATTTTGAGACGTAATATGCACTTATCAAAGAGGTCTTTGAAGGATATTGAAGTATTGTTTTTGTTCTTCTGTGGCATTTCTTTGTTTGCCTACTGAGAGGTATCCCTGGGATGTTTTGCGATGTTTTAGAAATGTTGGCATGAGGATGTTTTTTGAGGCATAATATGCCCTTCCCAAAGAGGTCTTAGAAGGATATTGAAAGTATTGATTTGTTCTTTTGTGCCCTTTCTTTGTTTGCCCCACCACAACGCCTCATGCTTACGTCACAATACGATTAATTCTGATTTGTTTTCTTTTCGATTTTGTTCTACTTGTTCGCAATTGGCATTCGCGTTTGCAGCGTGTCACGCTTACATCACGCTGCTAACGAACAGAAGGGAATTTGGTGAAGTTTAATGTGTTAGAAGACTTATTTAGTTTTTAATAATGACCATCAGATGCAAGATGTGTTGTTCGGTGCCTCAGTGTAATCAATATATAAAAGTACGAATTCATCAATACACAGCTTCTCCGCAGTTGCAAAATTATGCATTGTGGAGAACATTTCAAAAATTGGGAAACCTATTTCCAATTATATGTCTGTGTGTAGTAAGCACTACTCAGAAACCGATTAAGAAGGTAATAATTTCATATCAAGAAAATATTTTTATGTTCAATCTATTTTTAATGCATTTTTTCATTCAAGGGAAATGGAATCCTAATGCAAAAGTTCATTTTGACAAATGGCTTCAGAAAAGTACCTCGAATGTGTTTTTTTACAGCGATTTAATGTGCGCAAGACGCGTTGAAAATGTTCTGTTGTGTCCATGAAAAGGCTTTAAAAAGAACTAGGGAGAAGGTAGTTTTGTGACATATCAAGGACATCTCGATAATTGCCGCCTGCGGCGGACATTGGCTGTTCTATAAAAGTTGTATTCATGTGTGAACAGAACATCACAGTGGAGGTTCAATGTCTCGAAATCTCGTACTTTTAACATCTCTAAGATGTTTTTGTGCTCGCTGGGTATATGCTCTAGGTGCCTATTGAGGTGGTTATGTGTCCTTAGGAGCCCCACTACCATTTTTAGGTCTCGCCTGTTGAGAGATAAGACTTCTTTTGTGAGCCTCTTCAATGGTTCCTTTATGTGGAGCTTCGATTGTCTCATTCCTGGTGTGTCCTGCCATATTTTGAGAAAGGCATTTTGCAGCTGCTCCTCTATGGAGCACATTGCCAGACTGTATGGTATTTCCATTATTGGTTCTGGTCCGACCGGGGTCTGTCCTGAACCGACCTTGGCCAGTCTGTCTGCCTTTTCGTTTTCGGGTATCCTTGAGTGTCCCGGGACCCACATGAAGCTGACTTTTCTTGATTTTGCCAGGTTTATCAAGGCATTTTTGCACTCGGAAACCAAATAGGTTGTGATTCTATTGGATTGCGAAGTTAATATTGCAGCTTTGCTGTCCAGGCATATAGTTGGCATACAGGGTGTTTCATTGGGAGAGGTGAATAATTCAACTGTGGATAGGGGTCACTGGGGTGATTTAAAAAAACCCATGGTTAATGGGTTTTCGACTTCTTATAACCGAGATACAGGATGTTTCATCAATTTTGTCCATATCTTCATTGTCTCATAACTTTCCAACCAACCTGTATATATTTTTAAAAATTGGTACACTTGCTCAATTTACCCTGTGGAATTTATTGAGGTAACAACAAAAAATGAAATCCAGGTCCGACTTCACTTAAAATTCACAAAAATTCTTTCTGCCAGATAACAACACCCTATACATTCGAATTTCTCATTTTTTTGCCCTATCTGGAAAGAACATCAAAATTTCTATCCAACGATCTGCTTTTTATTAGTGCACAGACGATTTTAACTATTCATATTATGTGCTCAAAATATTATTTTTGCTCATTTTGGGGTACAAAATTGGAATCGGACGAGATTTATTAATTTTATTACTTCCTATTCAGATGGTATACGTGAGTATTACATTTAGAAGGAGTATTTCATATCGTTCTTTGTTCCAGACTTAGTTGCAGATCCGTCATCAAAACTACACAGGGCTTTTCACGATGAGCGTTAATTTGACGTTTTCGGCAAACCAGGCAACGAATGAATTCTGAAATTTCGATGGTATGTATAAATTAACATAATCTACACTACTGGAATATTTTAAACGATCCGGCCTTGCCGCTTCTACTAGAAAGTAGCAGCAACTTCGATTTTTCAAATGGGACACCCAGTTATTTCATTACATTCTTGGATTCTTGCTGAACAGCAGAATTCATCGATTCAAAACATTCAAGGTCTAGCGGGACTGATAACTGAGATATAGGATGTGGAAAATCGAGATGTTTCAACTTTAGAAATGTTTTGTGCTGAAACTATTCATTATTGCATGGTCAAAACGGCTTCAAAGTCCCTATCTCAACTTTCCATTTGGTATTCAATTGAAACAGATACAGGGTGGTGCAGAAATCTGAATTATGAACCATCCTGTATTTCTTTCGATTACATGTCAATAGATACAAAGTTAAGATAGGGACATAAAGGCCGTTTTGATCAATAATAAATATTTTCGCAAAATATTTCTAAAGTTGAAACATCTCGATTTTTCTCACTCTAAATATCTCAGTTATTAGTCCCACTAGACCCCGAACTTTGTGAATCGATTAAATCAGCTCTTCAGGAAGCATCCAGGGTGTCCCATTTGAAAAATCAAAGTTACTGCTACTTTCGAGTAGAAGCGGCAACGCCGGATTGTTTCAAATATTTCAGATGTGTAGATCATGTTAATTTATACATACCATCGAAATTTCAGATATATCCGTTGCCTGGTTTGCCAGAAACATCTAATTAACGCTTATCGTGAAAAGCCCTGTATTTTTTGATGACGGACCTGCAACTAAGTCTGGAACAAAGAACGATATGAAATACTCCTTATGAATGTAATACATACGTATACTGAATAGGAAGTAATAAAATTAATAAATCTCGTCTGATTCCAATTTCGTACCCCAAAATGAGCAAAAATAATATTTTGAGCACATAATATGGATAGTTAAATCGTCTGTGCACGAATAAAGAGCACATCGTTGAATAAAAATTTTGATGTTCTTTTCAGATATGGCAAAAAAATGAGAAATTCGGATGTATAGGGTGTTGTTTTCTGGCAGAAAGAATTTGTGAATTTTACGTGAAGCCGGACCTGGATTTTATCTTCTGTTGTTGCCTCAATCAATTCCACAGGGTAGATTGAGCAAGTGTACCAATTTTTAAAAATATATACAGGTTGGTTGGAAAGTTATGAGACAATGAAGATATGGACAAAATTGATGAAACATCCTGTATATCGGTTATAAGAAGTCGAAGACCCATCAACCATGGGTTTTTTGAAATCACCTCAGTGCCCCTATCCACAGTTGAATTATTTACCTTTCCCAATGAAACGCCCTGTATAATATTATGTTTTATGTTATAGTGTATGAATAATATAAATATCTAGAAATTATTAAAGGTTATGTTCCACATCACAAATCAAAGGTTATGTTTATAACAGATGGTACATTTTGCTGAAGATTATCACAGGCACCAGAAAAAAATTTGAACAAGAAATGAAAATGAATATGATTTCACTAATAATACATTTGTTTAACTTCCTTTGAAGGCATTTCACCTAACTATACCCCACGTAACAAGAGCAAAATCTGATAGTATTCAACTAGACTTGTCATCAACCTCACCTAACAACCCCTTCATGAACATTTATGATAAGTCGCTGGGGCGCTTTCATCGAATCTATTCGCTGAAAAAAGGAAGGAATCCTAAAAAGAAAGGAATTTAAAAGAAGGAAGGAATCCAAAGAAGGAAGGAATCCAAAGAAGGAACCCAGCGAGCACAAATATCTCTGGGATGTTTTGGGATGTTTTGAAAATGTTGGCATGAAGATGTTATTTTGAGACGTAATATTCACTGACCTAAGAGGTCTTTGAAGGATATTGAAGTATTGTTTTTGTTCTTCTGTGGTATTTCTTTGTTTGCCTACTGAGAGGTATCCCTTATCCCTGGGATGTTTTGGGATGTTTTAGAAATGTAGGCATGAGGATGTTTTTTTGAGGCGTATTATGCACTTCCCAAAGAGGTCTTAGAAGGATATTGAAATTATTGTTTTCGTTCTTTTGTGCCCTTTCTTTGTTTGCCCCACCACAACGTCTCATGCTTACGTCACGATACGATGAATTCTGATTTGTTTTCGATTTTGTTCTTCTTGTTCGCAATTGGCATTCGCGTTTGCAGCGTGTCACGCTTACATCACGCTGCTAACGAACAGAAAGGAATTTGGTGAAGTTTATTGTGTTAGAAGACTCATTTAGTTTGTAATAATGACCATCAGATGCAAGATGTGTTGTTCGGTGCCTCAGTGTAATCAATATATAAAAGTAGGAATTCATCAATACACAGCTTCTCCGCAGTTGCAAAATTATGCATTGTGGAGAACATTTCAAAAATTGGGAAACCTATTTCCAATTATATGTCTGTGTGTAGTAAGCACTACTCAGAAACCGATTAAGTAGGTAATTTCATATCAAGAAAATATTTTTATGTTCAATTTATTTTCAATGCATTTTTTCATTCAAGGGAAATGGAATCCTAATGCAAAAGTTCATTTTGACAAAAGGCTTCAGAAAAGTACCTCGAAAATGGTTTTTTACAGCGATTTAATGTGCGCAAGACGCGTTGAAAATGTTCTGTTGTGTCCATGAAAAGGCTTCAAAAAGAACTAGGGAGAAGGTAGTTTTGTGACATATCAAGGACATCTCGATAATTGCCGCCTGCGGCGGACATTGGCTGTTCTTTAATAGTTCTATTCATGTGTGAACAGAACATCGCAGTGGAGGTTCAATGTCTCGAAATCTCTTACTTTTAACATCTCTGAGATGTTTTTGTGCTCGCTGGGAAGGAATCTAATGAGGGAAGAAATCCAAAGAAGAAAGGATCCAAAGAAAGGAATCCATGCAAAGAAGGAAGGAATCCAAAGAAGGAAGGAATCCGAAGAGGGAAGGAATCCAAAGAAGGAAGGAGACGAAAGAGGAAAGGAATCCAAAGAAGGAAGGAATCCAAAGAAGAAAGGAATCCAAAGATGGAAGGAATTCAAAGAAGAATGGAATCCAACAAAGGAATGAATCCAAAGGAAGAATGAATCCAAAGAATGAAGAAATATAAAAAGGAAGTAAGGATGAAGGGAATCAAGCAAAGAATGTTGTTTCTGGTGCGTGATGGTGATGGTCGCGTTGGGCTGTAAACTCAGAAGTACCCTTCCGATGTTCCTTACCTGATAGGGAAACTTCATGAGATTGACCTCGGACAGCGTGACGTTCAGTATGACCATGGGCGTGACGCAGACGAGGAAGAGGATGCTGGTCGAGCCCAGCAGCAGCACCAGCCGCCGCTCCTCGGCGAACTTCCTCGGGTCTTCCTCGCCCCCCGAGCCCTTCCTGCTCAAGGTCATCTTGCGTCTGCGCTCGCACGACCGCCTGTACACGACGAGGATGCGCAGGTTGAGCGCGGCCAGCAGAAAAACAGGAATCACCTTCGGATAAACTGGGGGCTGAGTATACTAGCGCGCAAACGTAAAAAGAGCCACTAACCCAATCAGCCAAAGTACGTCTTAAAGGCACATGTCGGGACATAAGTACGTCTTAAAGACGTACATATTACGCCCAAGAGACGTCTTTAAGACGTCTTTAAAACGTACATTTTCCACTAATATGTACGTCTTTAAGACGTCTTTTTTAGGTGTTTTTGGTCTATGACCCCAAATTGATCTTTCAAATTACGGAAAAATCACATAGTTTCAGTTAATTTTCACCTGTGCACTGAAGTTAGCAACAAGTGCAGACAAGCAAAAAAAAGAGAAATAAACGACTTCATCAAACGGTAGACACAAGCGGTCACCCATTCAAGTACTAACCGCGCTCTTTGTTGCTTGACTTCGATGATTATACCATACTCACTTCTTCTGTTACTCTGTTTGTTCTATATATCACATAACAAGCTTTTACTTAGTTTAACATGTCCTTGTGTCTGTTTGTAATCAAAACGTGCAAGTTAAATTTGACTCACTTTAAATCGTCCGATTGATTTGAAATTTGGCATTATTATTGAATGGAAAAAACAGAATGGCTGATCCAATATGGCGGACGATTTTCTTATTGATTATGTTCCGATTCGAATCAAAATTCAATATTCAAGATGGTGAATCCAATGTGGCATATGGTTTTCTGATTATGGTCTGATCTGATTCAAAATTGGCATCTGAAGGATTTCGGGATCAGAGATTATAATTCCTTTTGTCGAAAATGAAAAATCCAAGATGTCGGCTTCAAAATGGCGGACGTCTAATTTTGTGATTATAGTCCGATTTTATTCAAAATTGATTACTATGGGACTTTTGGGGTCGGAAAATATGATTTTTTTGTGAAAATTCGAGAATCTAACACGAAGGCTCCAAAATGTCGGACGAAAAAATTCTAAAACATCACTTTTGTTGAAAATAAGAAGAAACTGAACAATTGAAAATAAAAAACGTGAAGAGATGACATTTTGTTTTTCTTCAGAAAATAACTTACATTATTGTTCTATAAGTCGAATTGACGTACTGGAATGTACGTCTTTAAGACGTCTTTTATACGATGGGAGGAACGACGTGGATACGACCTAAAATGTACGTCTTAAAGACGTAAATTTGTGTACGTCTTCAAGATGTACATGGATTTACATCTTAAAGACGTACTTTATACGTCCCTGGACGTAAAGACGTAAGTAAGTCGTAAAATGTACGTCTTTAAGATGTCTGGTGCTGATTGGGAAAACGTCATTAGAACGTTACAAAATGTTACAAAGGCGTCACGGAATCAGTTTGGCGCAATGGTGACGTTTAAGTAGCGTTTTCTTCACGTTTGCGACCTAGTGCTAAGCAAATCAACTGCAACTTCTTGACAAATTTTCGCTCTGAATTAATCATTGAATATTTTCGTGATCATTTCACGTATTCGGATGAAGATTGCTGACGAATAATCGATATATTATATAACTCCTATTTGAGTAGGTATCATTATATTTGGAATGTTATTCAATGTGAAATATATACATGGTGACACTTCTGTCAGAGCGGTGCACTCTCCTTGAATTCTCGTTCATTACCTTGAAAATGAGTTCCAAGATGACCTTGTAGACGCTGTAGAGAGGGTGGTTGAGGTAGTCACTATCTTCTGTCCGTTGGTAAATAACGATGTTTTCGGGAATGAGCTTGCAGGTTCTCACCTGGTGAAGAGTATCAGAATTTACCATATTATTAAGGATGAGGATATAAGGATGAGCAAATGTCAGAAGAGAGAACTGCGTTCGTGCAGCCTCTCAAAAAGGGGTCCCAATGGCTCAAAAGAAGCGGTTACAATTATTCAGAAAGTGGTTCCAATAACTCAGAAAGCGGTTTCAATGACTCAGAAGGCGGTAGCAATTGCTCAAAACCGGTTCCAATGACTCTGAAAGCGGTTTCAATAGCTCAGAAAATGGTTCCAATAGCATAGAAACCTGTTTCAATAGCTCATGAAATGGTTTCAATAGCGTTTGGTGCGTCGTATGATCACTACTATTTATCGAGCAATTTCAAAACAAGCACGCCCTCATCGGAGGCTGCAGGAACGCCTAGTCTTAGATCATACAGAAAGCGCCTAGATTTCTCTACTAATTTCAAATGTGAATTAAATCAGTGCCAATTTCAAAAACCAATTCATTAGATCAAGAACTGGTGGATCCAGGCCACACGTACATACATGACGAACGTGCCCAACGGAATGAGCGCCACCGCGCTCGGCGCCCTTCTCTACCCGAACTACAAATGCTCGCGTACCACTATCCCCATCATTCGCGATTACGTACGTTAATATGTGTTTGGCGTTAAGCCGTTACCACCGATAAAACAAGGCCTGCATGCTCCGTGGGTGACGTCACTTAGTCAGGCCTAACCAGCGGCTCGAAACGACAAGCGCTTATAGCGCTATAAGGCGACCGCGTATTTCGATTTTAGTTTTAGATCATTATTGAGCCGATTTTGCTTTTTTTTGATGGGCTTCCGGTTGAAAGAGGATGCCAGCCGTCAACTGAGCCCTTCTTCGCATCCCATTCGATTTTATTATGGAAAAACGAAGTTTCAAAGCAAAAAACCAGGATAAAACACAAATATCCACCTACAGCAACCCATTCGAATTATATATATTGGCAAAAATTGTGGGGAAGGTAAACTTCACACCTACTTATACAGGGCCCGCAGAACATAAACTTATCGTGAGATTGATCTATTTATGACTCTCTTTATTGAAGAAAAAATCATGAGGTGATCTATTTTTGATGTTGGACTTATATGAACAACTTCTTTCACATTTGACATAACGCTTGCTATCATGAAGACAAATGCGGAATTTGCTAAACATGAATTATTAAATGCCGTTCCTACAATATTGCCTGCCTTGTAATCTGAATATGGCTTTATATGAACTTCATCCATCATTAAAATGACATATTTTTCACGCTCACCTAATAACTTAAATACATTTTCTGCATGAGATAACGACATTCGTCTTTCTTCGAATGTAGGATCTGTTAACAACGAAATACATATCGATTCGACTGTACCTGAATGAGGTAATATGAGTACTCCAAAATGTCTTAAAAATTTATAAGCATGTGGACTTATTGTATGAACTATAGAGGCTAAAATTATAGTATTATTCGAATAACGATATCGTTCTTTGCAGGATGTATGTAATTTAATTTGCTCAGAGAGGAACAATAAAGCTGAAGTGTTTTCAGAATCTTCATCAAGATCTGAAACCGAGTCAGAAACCAAAGAGTCCAATGCATTCGAAATATGTTTCAAAACCCTCTTTTCCTGATTATCAAGACATTTTCCCGAAGTATGTATCTCGTTTTTATCTATTTCAATTAGTAATTCCTTGATCTGATTGATATTATTAGAGATAAAAGGTGTTTTCAGATTGGCTTTTAGAGATGTTTGTATCGCTAGGTCATACAAAAATGATTCCACATTCAAAACAAAATCAATCACAACCGAATATGTAATTAAGAGAATAGAATAAGACAATTTGAATAATGTGACTTTTTGCAAATCGATAATTTTGAACCACTTTTCGGGCAACTGAAAAGACTCTAATACAACTAGAAATTCTTAAAATTCTGTGTAGCAAAATGATTTTTGGTAATTTTCGAATTCAGTTTTACTTTTGGTAAGTGCTTGTGCCAAATTTTTAGTCTCTAGTATCTCAAGTTTTTCATCACGACTTGTGCGTAATTTTACATCTTTCGATAAATAAGATGTTGGAAATTAAGTGGGAATAACATCTCGTTTGAGCCTAGGAATTTTCAAATCTATTGTTACAGTTTTGCCAGTTTTTGAATCGGTTGCAGTAGATGAAGTAATAATATCATCTTTAGTAAAATGTAATTCACATACTTTACTGTACTTAGATGGAGTCGTAAAATCCTTGCGGTGAATTGCATGTACCCACTTTTTCGATAGTTCCTTGTCCAACGGGAAACTAAAAGCATGAACTTTTGGACCACCCACATAATTCCCCCGACAAAAGGAAACACAACACTTGTAAGGCATTGTTATTTCGCCTATCACAACACGAAATATTTCACAAAACATTAATTTCTCCGCCAATTATTTTGATGAATAAACAACAAGAGAATTTGAGCACACGCGATTTACCTACGCCACCGTTCTTAAACAAAAACAAACTGACGATCGATCGACGCGAATGCCTTGGAAGATGGCCTGAGTATGCGACGTCACGAGCTGTTTACGTCAGAGTCTGCTGGCCTTGTTTCATCGGTGGTAACGGTTTAGCATTGTTTGCCTATACTTTATAATGGTTGATGGATGAATCGCGGCGCCTGGACTCACCTGGCTGCGGAACAACGTCGGCACGTACATGACGAACGTGCCCAAGGGAATGAGCGCCACCGCCCTCAGCGGGCTGCCCATCACCGGTCTCGCCCTACCCGGGCGGCAGACGCTCGCGTACCGCTCGAGCGTGAGGGCGAGCAGCATCGCGACGCCGACGCCGAGGCAGCCGTTGCCGAGGAAGAGCTCGAGGTGGGCGAAGTAGAAGGCGGCGAGAGGACGACGCCAGTGGCCTTGCTCGCGGTGAACGAGGACGCGCCAGGCGAACGGAAGGGCGAGCAGGATGGCGAGCAGGGCGGCCACCGAGTAACCTGGAACATGTGAGGTCAGTAGAGTAAATTTGACAGAATAGTTGTTAAGAACGTGCAGGATGAGAAAGTTGTATGTTGCAATGTAAAATATAATATTGATGCTGGAATTATTTATTTAAAACAGAACTCCCGATCAGCGTCTGCCTTCGGAGCGTCGTTGAGGGATCTGAAAAATATTTGCGAGAAATATAATGTTACAGAACTATGCATAGTAAGAAAAGAAAACTGTACAGTATTGTTAGAAAGTATTAAAAGAAATATAGACGAATTTAAAAAGGCAAATAATCCAGATACTTGGAGTACATGGGTACCTTTTTGGTGTTTTTCATTCAACAACACGGTTCATACAGATACCCAATCACGCCCTACGAACTTGTTTTTGGAAAATGCTGTTTGATACCATCAAATTTGAATAACAGAATAGACCCAATGTATAACTTTGATGATTATCCAATAGAATTGAGGTATAGATTACAAAAAGCATGGGAAGATGCTAGAAATATCTTGATAGAATCGAAAGTTAAACGGAAATCCACATGGGATAGGAAAATTCAGTCAGAGGTAAATTATAAGCAAGGTGATAATATTTTGTTAAAAAATAATCCGTCTAACAAATTGGAACCTTTATTTGAAGGACCTTATGAAGTTATAGAAGAAAAAGGTCCTAATGTTATTATAAAAATTGATAATAAGCCTCAACTAGTTCATAAAAATAGAGTTAAGCCACATTATGACATGTCTTAGTTTAGTTAGCTTAAGTAGTTTTTTTTCTCCTTCTCGGGGGAGGTGTAGTATGTAAGATAATATAGGGTGATATTATATTGTAGGAATACTCTGTATAATAGGTTAAGCGAGGACAACGCACCGTGTGGGTTGTTAAGACTGTTGTTATCAAGACGCACGGTGTATTCATGATATTAGGTTGTTTAGGTTTAGGGTACGTTCCTATGATTTATTGTATATATATATATATACCTGGTACCACCAATAAAGACGAAATTGATTCTAACTTGACTTTGAATTGATTACTAGAATGTCTGTCACCATACATTCACAACCCAGTTATTAACCTGGAATAGGAATGATCATTCATTCTATTACACCTTGATGTAAATTGACGAATTTGTCATCTTAACAGGGAACGGACAGATCATAGCTGCATTCTTTTTTAATGATCTAGAGACTTCAGTTTTGTCTACTGGCATCCCTGACATTGCTGTCACGTCACGTCCATGGGCGCTACAGAAAATCATTCAAAATTTTAATAATAGGTGTGTACAGGGTATCAACTTGTTTATAAAGATCATATTTATGGGGATCGAGTTTTGTAATTATGATCCGATTTTATTCAAAATAGGTATCTGGGGGTTTTCGGGGTAGGAGATGATGATTGATCCGTGAAAATTGTAAAATTTAGGATGACGGATCGAATATGCACGGTATGAAAAAAAACTGGATCTCTGGAAAATAGATGTCCGGTCACATTCAATGTTGACATGGGTACCATGATGCCCTCATGTACTCGCCGCCCCTGCTCTCTCCGTTTAAAATATTTTCGACAATGCAGTGTTGCCGTTTCTACTAGAAAGTAGCAACAACTTTGATATTTCAAAGGGAACACCCTGTATTTCATTGCATTTTTAGATTCTTCCTGAAGAGCCGATTTCATCAAATTATCACACTTGTTCGAAATAGCCAGAATGCTGAAAGTGGTATGAAATGTTACATAAATACAAAAAGCTCAAAGTCATATCAACACAATGGTCATAATATGAACAACTATTGTAGATTTCGAAAGACTAAGAACTACTTTCCTGGCTGCCACGCAAAACATTGACTTTGAGCATTTTGTATTTATTTAACATTTCATTTCTTTTCTTGCCTGGCTACAGCCTCCCCACAATACAACTACTATTCAACATTTTATTTCACTTTGAGCATTCTGCCTTATTCGTAGTTGAAATTACACCAGTCGGGCAACCATCCACTCCCGTATGGGAATAACAGTTTTTTAGTGTTTATTCCCTTCTATTCTACTCGGATATGGCGTTGCTTTTTATATTGTCTATAAAATACACCTCTGGGGGAATATAATGCTGACTTGATTTTTGTTTGGCTATGCTACGCTTAGTCGGCGGTCTTAGGACTGCTGGCTGGAGACTGCCCTGCATTGATGAGAGTCAAAGAGCTCGAAACCGGTCTGTAGGTGTCTAGCGTGGCCTGGCTAAATCGAAATCAATAGGCATTCAGGAAAAAATCACTTCAATCAGTATTCGTTTATACGAGACGATGCATAGATTTCGGGAGGATGCAATTCAATGTTCTGCGTGGCATTGGCCAGGAAAGTAGTTTTTTTTCAAAAATCTACCATTGTTGTTCATTTTATGAACATGGTGTGGATATGACTTTGAGCTGTTTGTATTTATTTATTTATTATTGGTCTAAACGGCTCACATGTCTCTGTCTCAACTTTTGATTTACTATCTACTGACATTTAATTGGCGCAATTGAAGCGAGCTACCCTGTATATATACAGGGTGGGCCACCAGTAACGCCTCGGTCTCTAGAAGGCTAACCACTTATCTTGTTGGAATTCTTCCTCTCTAGGAAGTTGCATGTCAACATAGGCTACCATTTAAAATTATTTCGAAACATACAGGGTGTCCCCAAAAACCATAAAACACTGAAGTTAAACTTTTTTATATCGAACACCCTATATATTATTTCATTTTGAGATTCTCCCTGATGAGCTGATTTCAACCACCCATCATACTTGGGGTCTAGCAGTTATAATTACTGAAATATAGGGTGTGAAAAATCGAGATTTTCCAAGTTCAAGAATTTTTTGTGTCGAAACTATTCATAATTGGTCAAAACGGTCAAAGATTCTGAATTCTGCACCACCCTGTATTTGTTTCAATTAAATATCAGTAGATAGTTGATCAAAAGTTGAGATAGGGACATGTGAGCCGTTTTGACCAATTATGAATGGTTTAGACACAAAAAATTCTTGAACTTGGAAAATCTCGATTTCTCACACCCTATATCTCAGTACTTATAACTGCTTGACCCCAAGTATGATGGATTGTTGAAATCAGCTCATCAGGGAGAATCTCAAAATGAAATGATATATAGGGTGTTCGATTGAAAAAAGTTCAACCTCAGTGTTTTGTGATTTTTGGGGACATCCTGTATGTTTCAAAATAATTTCAAATGGTAGCCTATGTTGACATGCAACTTCCTAGAGAGGAACAATTCCAACAAGATAAGTGGTTAGCCTTCTAGAGACCGAGGCGTTATTGGTGGCCCAACTGGCCCACCCTGTATATATATGTGTTAAGTGTAAATATACGCTGGTGAAATAATTACGGCTCATCGGTATGTTTTGCCCTAGTTTCTTTATTTGGGGGATCATCAGTTAACGTACGATGGATCTGCTTCCTTATCTAATAAAGGGCAAGGTCACGTGATATCCGATTTCCATCAGGCGCGATTTGTGCGGATGGATTTCCATAAAAAAAGGATTAGGACATTCGTCAACTGCTTCACACCCTAGCAAGGAGGATTCCAGCGGAAATACATTTTAGAACTCAATTACGTTGAATACCACCATACCAGAGGCGTAGGAGTTTTTCTTGCCATGAACCTTGTAATCTCACTACCTACATGGAATAATAGTTATTTATTATACAAGGGAAAAAAGTGTTAGCGGAGGGAGACAAAAAACCGTGAGCTGAAATCTAATATTTTTCCCGTGTATAATACACTATTTTTTTTCTGTGACAGAAGAAAGGACGAATCAATATTGAGAAGATATTACATTATTTTGAAATCTGAAAATTATCGACGTGAAATTTTAAGTTTTTAACAGTATAGGGACACCTGCGTTGTAGGCATCTTTATCATCCTTTTGAAGTAATCAAATATCTGATGTCACTTCTGTCAGTCTAATATACATAACCGCGAAGTCGAATGGAAGATAGGACTTGCAGTTCTTTCTCGGAGACGGTATTATTGACTCATTTTTCGGAACAAAAGCCATCAACAGTGTGTATATATATGTGATATATATCCGGGAAAAAAGTACTCACTTTTTTCTCACGGAAAAAAAGTAATTTATGAAAAGTGACATTTTATAATCTGCCAACAGAGATGAAATGCCAAATTTTTCCCGTCACAGAAAAAACTATCTTTCAAATGAAAGGCACTGTTCCATTTCAGTTAGCATGTAATAAGAGTCTCAGATCCGTCTGCAAGATTATTACGTTCTTCTGTATCTGAATAACGCCGAAAAAATTCAGAGGGCGATTCCTTGTTATATTCTAGCAAATAAAGTTATTATAAACATGTTTTCTTTTTGGAGATTCAGAAGTTTGAAGTTGGAAGTAGTAATTGTTTTGACTTCCTACCCCCTTGTATAATAAGGTTTCATGGTGCCAAAATTCAGTATGGCTGGAGACTGAGAAAGCCCCAAAATTTCAAAATAATTGTAATTGGGGTTATTGAGTAATCTCAATGGAAGTCTTGAAATCACCTACATTAATAATTTCAATTCTTCTGTGATTTTCTCTTCTCGTTTCTATAAAATAAAAATATGAATATTATTTCAATATACGTGTAGTAAGGACAAATCAGATGAATTGCCCCAAGATGTCACTGCGTTTAAAGAATTTTCCTATCAGAGAGCCTAAAAGAAAAATTCACTAGCTTGTCAGTGACAATTTGTATTGAAAAAAGTTTGGAGAAGAGAAATAAAGGTATATTGAAAGAATATCAAATTTTCACTTAGCTTAGCGGACGTTTTCAAAATAACAAATGGTTATTTTAATAGCCAAGTCGTATCTGTCTTGGAACTTTCCAGTTCTCAGTGACAATTGGTGACGTTGGCAATCAAATGAGTTACAGGATGTTTTCATTTATTAATCTTGAATTTACTTTTTTCTGGAAAAGCCAGCAAGTTTGACTTTTCAAACGGAACACCCTGTATACTTTTACATATTCCAGTTCAACAGATCAAAACTAGTGCATTCTTTATGTCGAATGTAATTTTTTCGAAAATGTTGAAATTCAAATTGTTATTTTATTTTACCTCGTGGATAAATGGGATGTGGCCAAAGCTATTCACAATGGAAACCAGCATACTAAAAAACATGAATTTTTCAAAAAAATTATTTTTTGTGTCACTTATTTATCGATGAATCATTTCGTCACATTTTGATGAAAAATCCGATTTTTTTTTAAATAGAACTATCCCCCTATGGGCCACCTTTCTATAACAGGAAAAAAAATGACATATTATTTTTGTATTTCGATGCAGTCATTCATTCTACTTGCTTACGTCACCTATTTATGGCAAGCTTCATTAGAAAATATATGAGAAAAACACGGGGAATCTCTAGCTGTCGCGTTGGACATATCGAAAGCATTCGACCGTGTTTGGCACGAAGGACTCCTCCACAACTACCATCATACGGCTTACCACCTCAGCTATGTCATCTCTTATCGAGTTTTCTTCCAGGCAGATTGCTCCACGTGGTGGTGGACGGTGTATCGTCTGATACCATTGGCATCAATTCCGGCGTTCGACAAGGATCAATTTTGGCACCAACATTATTCCTTCTTCATATCAATGATCTGTTGGGAGTAACAACTTGCCCCATCCACAGCTTCGCAGATGGTAGTACCCTCCATCCTGCGTTCTCTTCCAGAATTCCCATTTCTTCCCAGGAAACTAAGAACTCACGGCGCAGGCAGGTCAATGCTGTCAATGAAGACCTTGATGAAATCACAGCCTGGGGAACCAACAACCTAGTTGAATTCAACGCCACCAAAACTCAAGCCTGTATTTTCTCTAGAAAAGCGGAACTCAGTATGCCCGATATTGTACTGTCTGGCACCACCATCCCCACCAAGCCCACCATATCTATGCTCAGTATTTCCATCAGCAACACTCTTTCATGGGATAATCATGTCAGATCCATCGCAAAAGCTGCTTCACAAAAACTCGGATTCTCGTTCCGTGCGAAAAGCTACTTCACACCTCAACAGCTTGTTGCTTATAGGGATTTCCTTTCGTGCGCTCCAAGCGATAAACAAAATAGCTGTGGAAAACAGCATTTCTGAATTTTGTCATAAGATTGCACTTGATTTGACCTATTGATTTTGAATATGTTGACATATGCAGGGTAAAAACGAGATTGCTAGCATTTCCAGAAAAACCGAAAGTCCGTCATATTGGATTTTAATGTCATCAAATCTGAAATGGTTGTTTGAACAAACGTAACAATTCTGAAAAATCTGTTTACGAATACTGAAGTTACAAATGTGGCCCCGGCATAAGTCTTGGCTAATACAATACATAATGCATGATTCTATAGGCGAATATTATTATACCTGACTCGATATTGAGAATTTTGAAATATACACCCTCTGGAGAATATTTTAACTATGCCCCTGTCGATTTATGTAAATGACAAAGTCATAAAATAACTATCAGAGCCCTCTGAACAGAGATAAGGATTGCAATGAATAAAGTTAATGTGGCCTTTCGACAAAGGCCTATATAGATTTTCCTTCCAAGTAGGGAAGTTTTCTTTCTACAGCTTATTATAGAGGCACAATCAGAACTTCTTGGGAAATGGAAATAGTTTTTGGAAACACCTATTCAGATTCTCTATCAGTTTCCAGGTTTCTGTCCCCTCGATTTTAGTATCTATGTATACCTACTTATGGAAAGAGGTTAAGAATGAGCTTCCGAAAAACAAGATCAGAACTTCTAATTACAAAGTTTCACTACAGGTTTTACGTTAACCAAAATGATTTTCGAAAGAGTTTTTTTCCGCTACATCAGAAAATACAAGGTGCTCGGAACAAACGATCTACAGGGTACTATTTGATTTTTTTCAATGAAAGACCCTATTTTTTATTGTATTCTTAGATTCTCCCTGAAGAGCTGATTTTATCAATGTATCACACTTGGGATCTAGAGAAAATGATTACAGAGATATAGGGTGTTCAAAATCGAGATTTTTCAACGTTAGGATTTTTTTGTGACGAAACTATTCATCAGGGTGTTCCATTTGAAAAAAATCAAGTAGTACTCTGTAGATCGTTTGTTCCGAGCACCCTGTATTTCATGATCTAAGGGGAAAAAAATGTTTGAAAAATCATTTTAGATGATTTTTGAAATTTTGAATCGGTTGAAAAATAAGTGAGCTAGAGGAGGGGACATTTATGGTGATTCACCCTGTACAGGATACTCATCCAAAGTAGTTTTACAGGGTTATTCACGTTATTTTCCATTTCCCTAAAAACGCACGATGTTCTTGGAACATTATATGGGTTCCCTTTCGTGCGCTCCAAGCGATAAAAAAAAGGTTTTCGGAAGTTGAATGCCGCAATAAAGCCGATTCCACTACGCCCTTATCATAAATCTTACAGGGTAATCCCTAAAATACGAATGGGGGAAAGAAGACAGAAAAAAGGGAAAAACATAAATAATAATAATAATAATAATAATAATAATAATAATAATAATATTTATTTCATCCTTCGAGACATTACAAAATGTATAGGACAAGTCAAGCGCTTACAAAATGGTTTAAAAATGAAATACATGATGAAATACAGTAAAAATTAAAACAAATGGCAGCAATGGCTAAATTGGCTACTACAAGTCATCCTGCAGGAATTCATCTATACTATAATAACATTCAGTAACCATTAAATTTCTTATAGTTCGTTCAAAAGAAGAATTTGGAATTATATTTTTAATTAATGTTGGAAGATGATTGTATAGTTTCATTCCCATATATCTAAAACTATTTTCTAGTTTTGTTGTTTTGTGTTTGGGAATGCGTAGGAGATCTGAGTTTCTGGTGTCATAGTAATGTTATTCCTCACATACAGAAGACAGTGATAAATAAGCACGCTGTAGAAAGACATTATTTCATATTTTATGAAGGTGGGTTTAGAAGTTTGTTGATATTCTAGTCGGAACATCTTTCGAATGATCTTCTTTTGTGAGTTCCGTATAGGGTGTAAGCACTTTGTATGCCATTACTCAATTAACACACAGGGTGAGTCAAAAATCAAGAATAAATCATGTTTCGAATTATTCTACCACCATCAAGGAGGCTTTGAAAAAATGTTCACCTCTTTATTTTTTTTTAAAGACAAATGCATTACCTACCAACAAATAAAAAAAATCGGCCTACTATTTTTTTTTAAGAAGATAGGTCAAATATCAAATGCGTCACTTTTTTTGGAACTGAGTGTAGATATATTGAAAAATATCGAATTTCAACTTATCGTTGGACGTTTGGGGAACGAATCTGCTCCCGTTCTCAACATAAAAATGCAATATATCTTTCTTAGAAAATGTTTTTCTCATAGTTTGACACCTTTCAGTGACATACTGATGTTAGACAAACGATTTTGGATTGAAAAAATCAAATAGGTTTACATACTGTAAATTAGTGTTTCGAGATATGGGCGCCCCACGTAAACCTATTTTATTTTTTGAATCCAAAACCGTTTGTTTAACGAAGAAAAGTCAAGAGTTTTTTTTTGTTAGCAACTAAAAAGAGATTACAAAACTGATTTTTATTTAGATAAAAAACAGTGGCGTGCCATTTTTTAATGTAATAAAATTATATTCTGGTCAATACATGGACGTATAATGGGTCAATATCAACGGTACAAAAAAAGGAAGATGATGAATTATTTTCATCAAATTGAAGAGAAATGTATCCTCTTCGAAAACATATGAAAATTTATATACCATTACATTCGGTTTTTTTGAAAAAAACTAAAAAATTTGCTAACATCTCAGTTAACGCCATCTAGCGGCGACAGCGAGAGTCAAAAATCCAAAACCAATTAAGTGTTTCATATGAGCCTGAGTTTGCTAAAATCGGTCGAAATAAACGGGAGAAATTTTGGTTTGTTTAAAAAAACAATTGAACTTTTTCCCACCGCTTCATTTTGATAGATAGAACAAAACGCAAAATTCGCTTGTCAAACAAAGTGTCACTTTTGATCCTAATAAAACAATCTACTATTATCCTTGATGACCTATGTACATCCTTTTTAGTTCCCAGAGCTAAAGTTCAACACTAAAAGTGTTGCCTAGCATCATACCTATGTTTTTGTGCCAGTCATAGAAACGTCAATTCAAGAGCTAATTTTGGTGTTAAAATGGACGACTTCTGTAACGGTTGCAGAAATTTTTTTTATGTGTTCAAAATGAAAGACGATTAAGAAGGTTACGTGAATTTATTTTATTGTTACTTACATTAAATATAGGTTGAAAGGAATAAGATGGCATACACAGGCAAGTTTAATAATTTATTTTGACAGTTCAATGTAATGTTTATCAGTAGATTTAATACCGAATGATTGTTATTGGTTGAAATCACTGAAATGTCAAATGTTTATCAGTAGATTTAATACCGAATGATTGTTATTGGTTGAAATCACTGATGAAATGTCAGATTTTGACATATGAAAATAAATCAGTGAAAATAGCTTCTATAGAGTTGAATACATATACAGAGTTGGAATAAAGTATGGAACCAATTTGATATCTCTGAAACGAAGAGGACGAAATTTTTGAAACTTCGCAGTCAAGTACAATGACACAAAATGCATCTGATGTGATTGTTTTTGTTAACAATGTAGTTCAGGTTTAACCGGAAATACAATTAACATTTTCAATTTAGGAAGGACATCCCCTGCATTTTAATATTCAGGTGCACTTCGGTGTGACCCTGTATACCTACGATTTATTCAATAGTATATTCCTAGTGAGCATCATCAAATATACTGGATGACCAAATATCAAGTCATTCGATCGCGCGGTTGATTTTTTACAAGGGGGGACATTTTAGCTGGGACACGGTGTATATATTTGAAATCAGAAGAAAGAGCTCTACCGATTAGGAAAATAAAATACAAGGTGTTCCGTTTCTTTAATTAAAATTTGTAGGTTAACGATGCTTTTTTGCATTTTCTTGTAATAGCTTCTGAATGCTCACGACAAATACTTCCTTTTTGCTCATTCGAACGTTTCTCTGAGAACCTGTACATTATTAGCAGAAAGAATCACATCAGATGCATCCAAAAATCGATAATCATGATTAATATCAGTCCTCATCACAAAATCCCCTAGCTATATCAAATCGAATCAAATCTTGAGATGATTATTATTATCTATCATTCAGGTTTTTTCAGAAGTTATTTTCAATCAGTCCATCCGTCCTACTCTGGTTCCAATTTATTTTGTTATATTATTATGCTTGTTGAATGTATTACATATGTAGAATAGATTGAAATATAATAATTGATAGTATATTTATGTAGCATACTTGATATTTGATGATTCACACGTTTCGAGACGTTTACTACAAAAAAAAATTTGACCTAACCTACAAATTCCATGAAATTTTTCGGTATACCATTGTAGTGAGTAAAACAGCCAATAAGGTATTTCTCCAATCCGCAGTAGGTTGTTTAGTTTGGTTATTGCCTTGCCGGTTCTGAGAAGAATTTGAATAAAATAAATAACAACAAAACAACAATCATGGATTTCATTCTGCTTACGATTTCATTGAATATTGAGAGAATATAAGAAATAAACAATATTTCTGTATTCTGTTCATATATATATTTGTGTGTTTATTTCCATGTTGCTCAATATTTTGTTCCTTGTATACAGGGTGTTTCAAAACAAACCTAACCTCCTTGCTAGGGTAGGTAGAACATTGCAAAATAAGTTGGGTTTGCTCAGTGAAAAAATGTCGTAACGGTATCTGTTTTCATGATACAATAAGGTGTTGAAAAAATTATTTGTTTACACATTTTTCACGATTGTTCCGAAACTACTGGCAACATTGTAATGAAATTTTGTATGGATTTTTCAATCTAAATATGATATGAACTTGAACATCATTCAATTTTACACCAAAAAGGTACTAGGTACTCTTGGTGAAACTCGATACTATGTTCCGTTTTCGGAATATTTCGATTCGAAAATAATGGAGTGGTAATGATGCTGGTATAAAATAAATTTTATTGAGTTCAATTACCTGTTTATCCAGCTTCAAAAACAATAAAATTATCTTGTGCTGAAGTTATTGATGAAACAAAGAATCATAAGTAGAAAATTAAGAGATATTTGAATAGAAACATGAAATATTGAATCAGTTAGAGTAAGTGTTCAAAATGTCCTATACGTTTCGAGGAATACACGATTCTATATTCTTTTTTTAAGAATGTATTATTCTTCTGAACAGTTGAAGATCAGCTGTTAGGTCATTTAAGTGATGTTCAATTATGTCTCACAACTCTTGACGTGAATTTACCTATGTAGCATATACTTTCTGCTCAAGATACAACAAAACTGTGTAATCCATTTCCTTAGTCAAATCTGTTTCGATGTTATTCTTGTGATTCATTGTTAAATCAATGAGTTTTGCATCAGAAATGTATTGTTGTTTTCGGTTTTCAATAAATAGGTGATAATTTTTCATAATACTCACTCTAATACATAGCTTTATACCAGCAACAGTTACCACTTCATCATTTTCAAATCGAAATGTTGCGAAAACGGAACACAATATCGAGTTTTACCAAGAGTACCGTTTTGGTGTAAAATTGAATGATGTTCAAGTTCACATCAAATTTGAATTGAAAAATCTAACCTCAAAAAAGTTATGTTCAAAACTACTCGGTATGAACCGTGTAACTGGCGCCTCCTATGAGAGTCAGATAAAATAAACAAATGCATGCGATGTGTCAGATTCCAAGGAACATCCAAACAGAATTTCATCACGATGTTGCCAGTAGTTTCAACATAATCGTAAAAAATGTGTGAAAAAAATATAGTTTCAACACCTTGTATCTTGAAAACGGATGGCGTTACGATATTTTTTTACTGAGCAAACCTAACTTATTTTGCAATGTTCTACCTACCCTAGCAAGGGGGTTAGGTTTTTTTGAAACACCCTGTATAACGGCATGTTCGTAATCCCTGATGATGGAAATATAAATTTCCGAAAGCTCGGACAAACTTAACCCTGTATAATCAAAAAACACTGTACAGACATAGACGAAGTTAAAATCAAAAACTGGCAATTCACTTCAGATCTACTGTATTCTGGCTCTTGGTAATGTAGTACATCAACGATTTGGAGACCATCCACTTCGGGGGTATGTTAGTCAAATAATTCCTCCCCAGATGCAGATACTTCAGATTGGGAAGCGAATGGAACATAGAAGGCGATATGCTCCTCAGATTATTGTCATCCAGGTAAAGCACCTCCAGGGCAGGCAACTTCATGAAAGTGTACTTGTAAATAGCGGAAATCCCGTTGTTGCTCAACATCAGAGTCCCAAGGGTCAGAGACGATAAGAAGGGTCTCTTCTTGGGGATGATCACTTCGTTGTCTGACAAAAAAAGTTTGTTGAGCTTGGGAGCTATCAGGAACACTTTGTTGGGGATTCTAGCCAGGAGGTTTCCAGACAAATCGATGAATTCGAGGTTAGGTAGTTTCCTGACGATTGAAATTGGGAATCTGGTGAGGTTCATGTGGTCAGAGTATAGAGTGTGTGCTTTTTCCACTTGGTTGAAGAATTCTGCGTAGCTGGATAGGTTCATTTTTGCCAGCATGTTTTTCTTGAAGCCTTTGACATCGACGCATTTGGTGGTGATCGGTACTTCCCAGTTTTGGACTCTCAGTTGGGCGGTGTTTATTTCGTTGCAAGGCTCGCCATAGAGAAAAGATCCTCCTGTATATCTGACTGGGAGAATCAACCTGCGGAGAACGGAATGTATTCTCAACGTTTTATTATACACAAAATAGGATTTACTATTGATTGGAGAATGTGTTTTCTCGAAATTTACTGTAGAATCATCGCTATTATTGGTTCATATTTATTTGGTTTCAGCCCGTTCGTTCAAGGTCAATTAGAGAGAACATACTTACAGTGCTTTCGAAAAGTATTGAATGTTGTCGAAATATCCATTTCAGGGGAATCTCCATTTGCCACATTTATAAGGAAAAATTCTATACAGCGTGTCTCAATTCAAACGGCCCCCCCTCCATATCTCAGCTATCAGTCGTGCGATCTTTTCCAAATTTGTATCGGTATGAATAATCAATAACATGACCAGTTCTTCAGAGACAAACATAATTTTAGACAGTGCCGTGCATTTTTATTGAGATGAATAGGAGTCAGTTTTTTTATTAAATCATATTAGGCATTTTTCCACAGGACAACTGACCTCATAATATTATTCTTCATGGTTTCAAATCCACATATGTGGATTTTCATGAGATGCCTATGAAGGGTTTCAGAAAAACAGGCACATCCAAACAGCATCTTTGCGAACGTAATAATTATTTACTCGGAAACGGTGAGTTCAACATAAAAAAGTACAACCCCTTTTTCCTTCCAAATCATGATTTTTCACCTAACGGAGCCATTAAACGTTTCAAAATTCGTAGTTGATTTGAAGTCACTATTTAAGCGAGTGAAAATGCAAAAAAATGAAGCCAATCCTGTTAATTCCGAATTAGATGATTTTTTGCATATGGGGGTTTGAAAGCATGAGGAACAATAATATGGAGTTATAAAGTTAAAAATATGCCTAATATGATTTTATGAAGAATCGACCCCTTTTAAATTCAATAAAAACGCACGGCACTGTCCTAAATGATGTGCATCTCTGTGAAACTGATCATATTGATGGTTATTCATAGATTCATACTACACCAAATTTGGTTGGAATCGCATGACTAATAACTGATATATAAAGTGAGACACGCTGTATACAGGGTGATTCACGTTTGAGTAATGACGTGGGCGACAAAATTTCCAAATGGAAAACTTTTCAAATTTTGGAATAAAAATTTCATAGTATCAGATACATCATTATACAGGGTGTATCCAAATAACACCGAAAAAATTCAAGGGGTGATTTCTTGTGATATTAAAGGAAATAAAGTTCACATAAACATGTATCCTAACTTGCTTCGTTTTCAAGATATAGGGTAATAATATTTCCATGTAAAATCTTTTTTCTATTCATTTCTCAATTGTCTCTTCATCAATTCCAATAAAACGTTGTGGTTTTGTTAATAGTAATATGGATCTTCTTCTAGTGCAATTAGATTCGAAATAAGATTTCCAGCAGTGGCGGCTCGTGACTTTCATGACAGAGGAGGCTGAATGATATGAGATTTATTGTGAAAAACAACTCTCTACGACTCACCCAAATCAATAGCCTTAATGACATTCTGTTTACTTACCAGTTAACCTGAACTTAATACTTGAAGAGATGTGTTTCTGTGATTTGCAGTTTCTATCCAATCCGCGAGGCAAATTTTTCAAATCATTATATCCTAATCGCCTCCAACATGATGACTTATGGGTTGAAAATAATACGCAGTACCAACAAAATAGCTTATTCCTTACCTCAGATCCCGTCAACCAGATATATTCATTATAATTATCAGAATTGAACGAAAGATTTTGTTTGCTACCTGTTACAATCAGATATTTTAATTTCGGTGTCGGACGTTTGTTTTTCAGCACAATCAATTTATCTTCATAAGACAAAGCACTGAATGGGTTCACCAAAAACTATTCCACTAAATCGCAATCGTTTAAAACACTCATTTTTCAGAAATTTATAGAGCCCCTAACCATTAACCTAACATAAACATAAACAATGCATTGCACTCGCGCTGGATTGCCCGCAATTCGCGACGCGACACGACAAACACGTGCTATTCGGGCGTATTCGGGCATTTGCATTGCGCATTGTGAAGCAGTCTAGCCTCCTATAGATGTTGCTAATTCAAAAATATCCACCTGACAGGAAATAAAATCAAACTCCATGTATTTTGGTGTCCTTTTAATGAGAAAGTATAGATAATATGAGTTTAAGGAGAATCTCTGAGGAGGCTCAGCCTCCGTTGCCTCCTCTGAGGAGCCGCCACTGATTTCCAGTGGCGTCACAATGGGTAAATTTATCGATATTTATGGCGAATGTCATTGTACACCACCGGTTTTTCAGAGTTTTATATTTTTATTAGATTGAACTATTGGAATAACAACTTTTTTTTTAGCTTAGTTTCTGAGGAAACAATAAAAATTCAATTTGACTCCAAATTTTAATGTATATAGGTGTTTTCAAAACTTCCCTTGAGATTAATCAATAACCCCAAATTAGAATCATTCTGAAATTCAGGGGCTTTCTCAGTCTCCATCCATACTGAATTTTGGCAGCATGAACGTTTGTATAGGGGGGTTATAAATAAAAACAATTGATACTTCCAACTTCAACATTCTGTATCTCAAAAACGGAGCAAGTTAGTACACATGTTTATATGTTATTTAGATACACCCTGTATAAAAATAATTTATTTCATATGATTTTCTCACTAGGTTTCCGGAAAATTAAAAATATTGTCAAAATTATCTCAATTTTTTCTAATTATATGATAGCTGTCATGTGCCAGTAAATTTCCACCTATTAATTTTACGTCTACATGCTCATGTAGATGAGAAATGTTCAAACTTTGCTGGTAACCATAGTAACAAATTCGAAATTGAGCATCTGATTGGTAGAAAATGAGTAAGTAGTATGAAATTTTCAGAATGATTTACTCATAGGTTATATTTGCACAAGTGCATAAAGATTACCGATAATTTCGTAAGAAAGCATGTTTAAAAAAATTGCAAGAGTCCGAAGGATAGAAGGGCGCTTTACCAAAATATGCATATATGAAAATAACCGAATGCAAGTTCTACTAGATCACTCACGCTTGCATGCAAACTCATCTGGTCATCATTATGCACGAATGTTATTGATTGGAATATTTCACGAATATAGAAATTCTCGAAGAAATGTTGTTTTTTTGTATGCATGGAGCACTCGCCAAAACGCGATTTTTTTCCCATTTTTTGAAGTATATCTGATATTTATTTGTATTATCTACTGGCGCCTAGCGACACGGTTTTAAATGTGTTGCAATATGGTGACGAGATGTTTTCGCAGTGCAATTACCCCTGTTATTTTTCGATAATTGCATTGTTTGTATAAGACATTATATACAGTGTGTCCACCTTAAGGACTTACCACCCCTGTGAAATTGTTATTATCTGACCGATTTCAAAAGACTTTTTTTTGTTGGATAGGTATATTTGAAATGTCCATCCAACAAGAGAGTGATTTTACTCATGAACTGTAATCGTGGCCAACTGCAACCAACTTTATTGACCCATATTTGAGAAAGTGCTATTAGGGATTTTGTTTCACAAAAAACAATGAGGGATTCTGAATCACGATCACTTGAGGAACACCTTTACTGATTTTTATCATCATAAAAAACAGGGTGTCCGAAAAAACGAATTATGTTTTTCTTATAGTCGATCAGAAAATGTAGTATTGTGGTATTTTTGAGAAGAATTGATGACATTATTATTGAGGATCACTTTGAACATCTCTGTACCGATTTCCATCATCCAAATATACGATGTGTATGAGAAAATCATTATTTTTTCATCAACTCAAAAAAAATATTAATTTGATTTTTTGAACACCCTGTCTTTAAAGATGATGAAAAACGGTACAGGTATGTTCCAAGTGATCCTGATTCATCTCTTCATTTTGAGTGAAGAATTATCAGGATGAAAAATATTGCTTACCTATCCTTTTTAATTTTTTTCTCAGACATATTTTATATCCAAATCACGAAAATTGATACAGGTATAATTGAAATAATCCTCAATGATAATTTGTGATTATTTCTTTCTAGAAAAACCACAGAACTACATTTGCTCATCACCTATTTGAAGGAAATGATGATTCGTTTTTTCGGACACCCTGTGTTTTATGATGATGAAAATCGGTACAGGTATATTTCAAGTGGTACTGATTCAGAATCCATCATCATGTTTCGTGGAAAAAAATCCCTAATAGTACTTTCTGGAACATGGGTCATTGAAATTTGTCGCAGTTGGCCACGATGACAGTCCAAGAATTAGATCACTCTCTCGTTGGATGGGCATTTCAAATACCTATCCAACAAAAAAAAATGTTTTTCGAAATTGGTCGTATAATAACGATTTTACAGGGGTGGTAAGTCCTTAAGGTGGACACTCTGTATATGAGGGAAATATTCTTCATACAGTCTACAGCCTACCAGTTGAAAACTTCAAATTTCACATCGATTATTTTCTGATTTCAATAATATGGTATATTATAAAGATTGTTATCGGAATCATATTCTATCGGAATATGTACGATCAAAATTGTAGCATAACGAAACTGTAATTTAACAGGGCAGTTATTCATCCGAATGTGAAACAACATGATGTATATATATTTCGAGCCCTGCTCTTAGCTTCAACTATACGAGGTGGAAAAAATCTTCAAATATGAAAGTTGTAGTGTTTCAAAGCTGTACCTACTATTCTTGACACTTCTAAAACAGAGGAGTGCGAATCGTGAAATGGAAAAATATAGTTTTAATCAGTTTTTTCCGAATGACACCCTGTATATTTTCGATTCTGATGAGAGATATTTTCCTCCTAGTCACAAATATGTTCACACAAATTTTGCAGAATATAATTGCAATTTCCAGGGCATATTATGTATTTTTTTTTCATATTGAAATTTGCAAAATATCATGAGTGATTTTTTTCAAGAAAATTCGACCCCACCACTGGATTGAGCATCCTTCAATTAGGTTGAGCGCAAAATTCCATTGGAAATTTTCAATTGGCAACAA